GCCCTACTCTTTTTATTAGCGAAGGTACAAACCCTGTGCTGCCGGAAGAACTCTCCCTGGTGCTGGAAACAAGAACTCCACGAGTGCGCCTGCACTTGGGGTGAGTGGCAGCTGAAGGCACAGCAGCCGTGGCCACCCAAGCCCCGGGAACTCAGGGACTCTGATACCTACGCACACTCAGGCTCTGTCTTCAGACTGGCAGATCCTGCACCCCGGGTACCAATCTCTCTCTCTCTCTCTCTCTCTCTCTCTCTCTCTCTCTCTCTCTCTCTCTCTCTCGTCCCACATCCCCTGGTGTTCAAAATCCTCCCTGTTAACCTCTTTGCCTGCACCTATTAGCTCTCACAAGGACGGATTCTTCATGGAACTGGGTGGGTGCAGGCAACACCAGGCACTCTTAGTGCTTCCCACAGAGGGACGTTATCTAGGGAGGTCGTGGGTGGGCAGGATGAAGAGACAAGTGAAGCAAGAAGTACTACATGCCCTGGAGTGTCAGAACCAGGGGCGTAGCAGACAGGGTAGTGGGCAGGGCAGGGCACAGAGCCGTGGAGCATGGACTCCAGAGAAAACCGGACCTTTACGTGCCCTTTGGAGGAAGATCCAGAGCCTGGCTATGCCCCAGAGGCAGAAGCTGTGAGTGCAGCGGGGACACTGAGGGCTCCCGAAGGAGAAGAATCACAGATATCTTTCCCAGCTATCCCCCATCCAGACGCCACAGGGATGGAGGAAAGAGTCTCTGATGAGAAATCTGGACTGGATGGGAGCAGGAATGACTCTGGCCCCTGCCAGGAACCTGAGAGTACAGCTCCTGGTCTTGCCCGTCAGACACTGGTGTGCCATCAGGTCAGCTTCCACACGGCCTGCAAGGTTTCTCAGGAGCACCATTGTCACAATGTCACTTCCGTTCAGCTCTACGCCTTCCATGGAAGCTGCTGTGGCTTTGGGGGAGAGCATGGATGTCATGCTTCAGCCTGCCGGCAGGCGCCTGTGCTCACTCACCCGCACAGCTGAGGTCGCGTTGCGTGGTCCCCAGTAAGCTCTCACCCAGCAGGGCCAGGTCTTGTTTGGGGCGTTCTTATCCCAGATGCAGCTGCTGAGGTCTAACAGAGTTCGACTCCCAGGAGCATTAGCTGATTGCCCCGGGAATGCCTGAATTGGCGTCTGCCGCTTTTATATTCACCCTTTCACGTTCTCTCTTACACAGAATTGTTCGTACTTTGAATTTGTCATCAGAGTCCTGTTTCTGCTTTTTCATGACCCAGCTCAGGCAATATGAAGAATCCTCGTCTAGGTGGAGAGAGTAGAGGTTCAGAAAGAGGCCAAAACCTGTCCAGGATGAGCACTTGGGGCTGTGTGTCCGGGGATTCTGGGCGGACTTTGTACTTTCAGGATGGACCCTGCTTTTGTGCCAGCCCAGAACTTGGGTGCAGTTGTTATGCCCCACATCTCCACATGCCTCTTGGAGAAATTCTAAGAATGCCAATGGTTGAGGCATTTAGACCAACTCAGAACAACCTCTGGTTCATGGACGTGAAGAGGGAATTATCCTGAGCAGAGCTGTGGTAACCAGCTCAAGAATGCAGTGTGGATCCGGGGAGAGCATGCAAGGCTCAGGATGTAGGAAAGACTGAGTTTGATCCCGGGTACCACAGAGAGGCTGGGCATCACCAAGTGTGACCTTGGTGGTCCCCAGTGCTCTACACTAAACCACCAGCCAAGTTGGATGAGTATGTTTGGGAATGCCCTGAGCCCGTCTGAGTACTTCCCGGAAAGCCAAACACATATATAATATTATATATAATATGCTACAATTTATATTATATCTTGGTCTTTTTGTAATATATAACAAGTCTCACAATGGAGATGTTACTGGTGCCCACTCGAGCAAATCGATGAACAACAGGAGGACAGTGCTACAGTGCTATAGTATATACTAAATAGAAAAAATATAATAAAATATATAATAAGGTAAAGGTAAGGTAAAGGCCCTCCCGTTGATCGTCGATTTGCTCGAGCGGGCCCAGTAACGTCTCCATTGGAGACTTTGTTGTTACTGTGTCTGGCATATCGAATACTCTCGGGAGCTTGCCGGGCTCTCCGAGAGGGGCGGAGGAATCGAACTCGGGTCGGCCATGTTGGCTGCCTGTAAGGCGAACGCCCTACCACTGTGCTATCACTCCAGCCCATAATAAAAGACAAAAACACTGAAAAATAATCAGCCAGCCTCCCTCCTGTGACTGGCCCTTTTTTATCACTGTGCTTGCTAATTGTGACATGTTTCCTGTTACCTCTGGGGTCTCAATGGAATGCGAGGTGGTTCTTCAAAGTGTTTACTCTATTCGTTAACAAAGACAAATTCAATATTCATGGCTCATTAAATCACCTGAGTCACTGAAGAGGAACCTGCCTCCCTGAACACTAGGGGCAGATGGTCTGTCAGGCACGACCCTGCTCCTGGCCCCTGGCAGGAGGAATGTTCCCACATCAGCGATGCCATGGAGGCCTCCTGGATCAGACTCCTGCGGGCCATGGGTTGTCGTGCCACTTTTCGTCTGTGGGATGCCTGCTGGCTTCCTGCTCCTGGAAGAGGTGGGTCTGGGCACCCTAGCTGGGCCTGTCAGCGACCCCGCTCTGAACGCCCACTTTGTCCCCCAGTTCAGGTTGTGGGGTAGGGCTCTGTCAGCATTTGGTTTCATGAACTTGACGTTCTAGAAGACCAGTCAAACCAGTGTAAGGAAAAGGAAATCATATTCTTACAAGGTAGATGCTTGGGCCCACAGAGACCTGTCCCCTCAGCCTGTCTGGAGTGATCCCTGCACTCAGGGGCAGGAGTAAGCCCTGAGTGCCACTGGGCATGACCCATAAACTGAAATACATAAATAAATAAATAAATACTAGAAGTTCAGCGTGCTGATGTTTCAAGTCAGAGGGATGGAGGGAGAGGACAGAGAAGGCCCATAGTGTTTTTGTTTGTTTGTTTGTTTGTTGGCTTTTTGGGTCACACCTGGCAATGCTCAGGGGTTACTCCTGGCTCTGCACTCAGGAATTACTCCTGGTGGTGCTCAGGGAACCATATGGGATGCCAGGGATCGAACTCAGGTTGATTGCGTGCCAGGCAAGTGCTCTCCCCACTGTACTATTGCTCCAGCCCCTAAATCACTATTTTTGTTTAAAGACTCGGGGGATACTGGGCTAAGCAGCTTGGCAGGACTGCGGAGGCAGGCCGGGATGCCAGCTCAACTTCGGTGAGAGGGGAGGCGTCGGGACCACGGCAGGACGGAGACACCCTCTCTTGTCAGTCCATGCACCTTCGCAGACCTTAGAGAAACAAAGTGGGCACAGGTGGGTCCAAGTCCACCCTCTCAGGTGGCAGCCCCAAGGTTCCATCTGGAATCAGGGGTAGGGAGACCAGGAGGGCACATACTCCAGATGGGGCAGAAGCCCCTGGGCACAAGAGCACCCCTGGCTGACACACCCAGGGCACCCAACAGAGTCCGTGGGCTGTGCCAGTCCTCGAGACAGGCCGCCCTGTGGGTGCAGGGTTGCCACACTGCCCTACAGTCAGGTCAGCAGACAGGGACACTGGTGCCCGGTGGGAGCCCCAAGGCCAGTGACTCCCCCCCACACACACACACACACGCACTGCTGGCCCCTTGGAAGAGAGTCGGGCAGTTTCCAGGGTTTGAGGAAGGAAATGCGGCGGGGGGTGGCGCAGGGAGAAACAGGCAGAAGGGGCTGCTTCCTCGGCCTCCTGGTTCCTGCCCCGGGCAGGCTTGGCTGTTAGAGCAGACCCTCTGGACCACCTCTTCTTCCTGCTGAAGCCGGGCACCCACCCTCGCCCCTTAACCCTTGCTCCACATTCTACACTAGTCATTGTGGTTGGCTATTGGCATCTGACGGAGGAAATGGCCATTACTGGGACAGTCCATCCTCTGCCATGTCCTCTAAACTGGGGACACTAAAGGTGGGGGAGGGGAGCGTGACCACTGGGTCCTCGTCTTTCTGGCTTAGTGAAAGATCTAATAAGATCGCAGCTTCCTGCTGTTGCTATAATGAAGACCGCGTCCCTCTGAGGCCCCAGCAGAGGAAGGGGGTGGATGGACAAAGAGGCCCTCGTCTTCCCCCTTCTACCTCCCCGCCGCCATCCTCCCAAGGATGGGACCAGTCTTAGATTCCGGGCTTTGAAGCCCGAGAGCTGGGGAAGGTGGGCACTGGCTTTAGCACTGTGGGACCCTCAAGGTGTCGTCAGAAAGAAGCTGGGTCTATCCAAGGCAGCTGGTGGCGGATCCAGTCAGCTGACAGCAGAAAGCAGCCGAGCTCCACCTGCCTGTGGAAGAGCCTCAAGAACGGCCAGGCCCAACCTTTCTTGCACACAGGAGTTGGGCTGAACCTCATAAGTCGTCCCCGGATCTCCTGGCAGTTTCTCTGTTCAGGGCCCCTCAGGGCTGCCCCAGCGCCCTCTGGACCACTGTGCTGGGCCTTTCCAGATCACACCTGGCCCCGGGTCAATGGTCGAATCCAGATCTTTGTGCCTGCTGGACTAGAGGCCACGGAGGAGATGGGTCTGTGCAAGCCTGCACACACATGCACACACGCACACACATGCAAATATGCACATGCATGCACATGCACACATGAATACATGCATACACACGTATGCACACACATGCACCCAGATTTATGCACGCATGCCTGCACACACAGTGTCCTGAGCCTCTCCCTTGCCCGCATCCTTCTCCCTGCCCCTTGGGGGAGCCACACTCCCATGGCTTCCTCTGCAAAGAGGGAGATACTTGCCCCCTCGGTGGTTTCCACTCACGTGTCAGCCCCGGGTCCCCTCTCCCCAAGTCCTCCGGGAGCATGGCGCCCACTGCTCCATCCAACATCTCCCAGCCCCTCATTGGTTCTGCCCCTGGGAACAGCCCACTAGGAACCTGGGCTCCTGCGGGCCGAGTCCCCATCTCAGCCCTCTCCCACCCTCCTTCTCTGTTCTCTTGCAGAGACATCAAACCAGACAACATCCTGCTGGACGAGCGCGGTGAGTCCCCTGGGAGCAGTGCCTGAGCTGGGCCTGGCTGGGTCGGGCAGACAGGAGTCACGGAGCTCTGAGGTTCATAGCACGGCTCCTCCTACTGCCGCCTGTGATGGCAGAAAAGCCCCTCTTCTCTCCCCCAGCTTTGGGGTCCTCATCCATCACCCTGGCAGGACGTCCACCCTCCAGACTGCCTCCGGGGCCAGGGAAGACAGCAGATGAATCCTTGGAGGGCTCAGTGATCTAGGGGACATTGCCTCCCTCCCAGGCCCCTTGTTTCGCAGGTGATGCTGATGCCCATCCGTCCAGCACGCGTGGCCATCAGCTCCGTTACCCAGAGCCCCTCCTGGCTGCAGAGGGGAAGGTTTAGTTGGGGACATGGGGGGCTCGGAGGCTCAGGGCTCACTCCTGCGAGGACTCAGGCTGGTGCTGCACATGAAACAGGAGTTGGCCATATGCCAGTCTATTGCGCTTGCTCCCAACCTTTCTTTTTCCCTTTCTTTTTTTGTTTTGTTTTTGTTTTTGTTTTGTCTGGGGACATACCTAGCTGTGCTCAGGACTTAGCTGGCTCTGTTCTGAAGTACCGAGAATATGTGGTGCCGAGAATCGAACCCTGGTCGGCCATAGGCAAGGCAAGTGCCCTGCCCACTGGACTATCCCTGGACTGTCCCTTGGGGCTTATTAAGGACGGGCAGCCTTAGTCCTCGCGTTCCCAAGTGCCCTGCCCACGGTCTTGGTCCCCCATGACTGAGCGCCCCGCCACCTTCACTTTAGCTGCGGGCTGGGAGCCTCGGACTAGCCAGCAGTGGGGGCTGCTCCATCCACCTGCAGGGAAGACAAGGGTGCCTCGTTCCGGGGCCTGCCCCTCCTGCTCCCAGACAGGTGTGAGGGACAGAGCGGAGAGGTAGAGCTGCCTCGTGACACTTACCTTGGTGGCAGCGCTGGTGGCACTGGCGTGTCTGCTCGGAGTGGACAGGGCAGAGGCAAGCAGAGTGTGCCTCAGAGGGGAGGCAGGGCTGGCCGGGTGCCAGAGGCTCTGCCAGGCCTCGAGGGCGGCCAACACATCCCTGGGTTTCATGCCCAGCCCACGCATTGTCAGGGGGGCGAGGAGGTGCTGAGGTGAGGGGCCCAGTGCAGGGAGGCGCGCAGGAGACCCCTCCTGGCCCGGCCTGTCTGCGCAGGACCCGACCACAGGCCGACACCATGTGCAGCGGAAGAAGCTGGCTGCGCGGGCCCTTCTTCACCCGCACAGCTGCTGCCAGAGCCGCGGAGCCTGACCGAACTCCTGCCGCAGAGTCTGATTTTGAACCTTTTATCCCCCTTCCGCCCTGTCATCCTGCAAGAAGCTGGTGATCTTGGGGGAGATGCGAGGAGGGAGCGTGGGCATGGAAAGCACCACCCCACTGCCGGTCCCAGAAGCGCCCATCATCCCCAGGGCTGGGCTGGTCCCCTGCACCCTGGTGGGCAGCCTGACCCTGAGAGTGAGCGTGGGGTGTGCTGGGGTGTGAGGCCCCCAGGGCAGTCTGTGGGAGGGAGCGGAATGAGGGCAGGGAGGGACCCCAGGCACGGCCAGTCGCCACAGGCTGAGGGGGACCCGGTGGGCTGGCCTGAGCCTGTGGCCAACAGCTGCAGAGCCGCATAGGGCAGAGAAGGGCTATGAGGGTGGCACACTCGGGCGAGGACAGGACCATGCGGGGCCACCCTCGAGGCGCTTCTGGATGGACACTCAGGGTGCCCAGTACAGGCTTGGCCCCATGGCGTTCGGCTCTCCCTGCCAGCCAGGGTGCAGAGCGTCCCTGATCTCCCCAGGGGCTCTGAGCACCGTGCCCACCCTCTGGGGTGGGATTCATGCTGGAACTTGGCTGCCCTGTCCACAGTGGAACCAGGCCGCTTCTCCTGTGGCCCAGCCTCAGGCCCAGTGCATCTGGCCACTCTCAGGGGTGCCCCCGGCCAGTGTGGCGTGTCCCCAACACAGCTTTCAGACGTGGTGAGAACTCGCCGGCTGGCACAGGAAGGCACAGAGAACTAGTCAAGGCCAGCGTGAATGCTGTCCTGCCCATGTCCACATGAGCCCACTCAGCCCCGCCCTGTGTCCTGGTCAGTTCCCCCTCCTCAGGCCCTCTCCTCCGTTCCCTGGTGCCCAGAGCCCTTTGTGACATCTCAACCCGGCCAGGGTCCGGGTTGCAGGGAGGGGGGCTCTGTCCTGGCCCTCCCCATTAACTGCCCCGGGCTCAGTATTTCCAGGAACTCAGGCTGCTCAGCTTCCCCGCAGAAACTCTTCCCATGTCCTAAGTGTATGTGTTTATACATAAGCAACACGCGTATATACTCCAGAAAATCACATGATAAAATCTGCCTATAAATGGGACGTTTCTCACCATGTAGAAGCCCTTTTCACACCATCCGTTCCAGGCTCACAAAACAGTGCTCTCCACTGTGGCTCCCAGGTTTGCTTGGGTGAGAGCCCCAGACCTCCTTAGCACTGGCCAGCTCCCCCCCCCCCACTCCACCCCTACACTGACCACTTTCCTGCCCTCTGATTCTAGAGTCTGGCTTCCTCTGGATCCCATACGCCAACGAAGTTGTGCGGAATTTGTCTCTCTGCCTCACTCATCCCAACCTAATGGTCTCAAAGTCCAGCCAGGTGACCCTCAGTAGCAGTCCGTCCCTCATGCACCCAGCACACGCACCCCACACTCCTTCTCATTCATTCATTCCCCACGGACACTTATTCTATAGTCCAACTGTTGTGACAATTTCACAACATCCAAAAAATGTATACACCAAGAAAGGCGCATCTCTCCCTTCAACTCTGCTTTGCAGTAGCTGCTTTAAGGCTGCCTCAGGCTCAGGCTGACAGGGTCTCTGTTCCTCTCCCCAGGGCACGTCCACGTCACAGACTTCAACATTGCCACGGTTGTGAAAGGGTCCGAGAAGGCTTCCTCGATGGCCGGGACAAAGCCCTATATGGGTGAGTGGCCCCCGTCCCGTCTCAGCATCCTTCCTGCTTCACCAGCACCCAGTTCCCGCCGGGACCCACCCTCCCTCCCTACCCCTACTTTCTCGAGAACCTCCAAGCAGAAGCCTGGCTGCACCCCAGGAGGCTGGCAAGCCTGAAGCATACCCTTCCATCTTCACTGAGTGTCAGGACGCAGCCTAGAGATCGCCCCACACCATGGTCTGGGGGTGGAATTCCAGCTTGCTTTTTCTTAGGACTTTGGTTGGACACGTCTTTATTTTCGTTGTATGGTTTTTCTTGTGGGTGGAGCGATAGCACAGCGGTAGGGCGTTTGCCTTGCATGCAGCCAACATGGCCAACCCGAGTTCGATTCCTCCGCCCCTCTCGGAGAGCCCAGCAAGCTGCCGAGAGTATCTCGCCTGCATGGCAGAGCCTGGCAAGCTCCCCGTGACGTATCCGATATGCCAAACACAGTAACAACAAAGTCTCCAATGGAGACGTTACTGGGCCCGCTCGAGCAAATTGATGAACAACGGGAGGATAGTGTTTGTTTGTTTGGTTGGTTGGTTTTTCTTATATTTAGTTTCATTTCTATTTCAGGGATGATAAATTTTTATTTTAGAAAACTCTTCATGGAGGTACTGTTAATGATGGCTTCATGCACACATTGTTCCAGCACCATGTCTGTCGCCAGAGACTTTCTCTCCCCCGTACCCACAGCCCTGCTCTCCAGTTCTGTTGCCTCTGGCCATTTGTCACTCCCTTACTGTGTGTCTCTAAATCCCACATTTGAGAGATGAGTCTGTATCTATCCCTTTCCTTCTGACTTATCTCTCATCGTGATACAATCTAGTTCTTTTCATGTAGTGCAAATTCATGATTTTGTTCTTTCTTTTTTTCTTTTTTTTTAAAACTTTTTTTATTAGTGAAACACCATGAGGTACAGTTGTAGACTTACAAATTTTTGTGCTTGGGTTTCCATTGTGCAATGATCGAGTACCCATCCCTCCACCAGTGCCCATTTTCCACCACCACTGATCCCAGTACCCCTCCCACCTCCCTTATCCCCCATCCCACCCTGCCTCTGTGGCATGGCACTCCCTTTTGTTCTCTCTCTCTCCTTTTGGGTGCTGTGGCCTGCAAAAGAGGCATCGAGTGGCAACATGTTCGGTCTAGAGTCTAGTCTCAGCATGCTTCTCCCATCCTGGGGGGATCCTTCCAATACCCCCCATTTAGTGATGCTCCCTTCTACATCTGGGCTGCCTTTACCCCTAGAGGGTGAAGCTGGCCTCCAAGCCATGGAGTAAACCTCCTGGTATTTATCTCGGCTATTCTTGGGTATGAGTCTCCTATTTTGTTACTTTATGTTCCCCAGATGAATGCAATCTTTCTATGTCTATCCCTCTCTTTCTGACTCATTTCGCTTAGCATGATACTTTCCATGTAGTACCACTTGTATGCAAATTTCATGATTTCATCCTTTCTGACAGCTACATAGTATTCCATTGTGTAGATGTACGAAAGCTTCTTTAACGAGTCATCTCTTCTCGGGCACTCAGGTTTTTTCCAGATTCTAGCTATTGTAAACAGTGCTGCAATGAACAGATTTTGTTCTTTCTTACAGCTTCATAGTATTCCATGTGTATATACATACCATGGGCTGGAGTGATAGCACATTGGGTAGGGCATTTATCTAGCATGCAGCCAACATGGCTGATCTGAGTTCGATTCCTCCACCCCTCTTAGAGAGCCTGGCAAGCTACCAAGAGTATCTCGCCCACATGGCAAAGCCTGGCAAGCTACCCGTGATGTATTCGATATGCCAAACACAGTAACAAGTCTCACAGTGTTCCTGGGCCCACTCGAGCAAATTGATGAACAACGGGAGGACAGTGACAGTGACACATACCACAATACATACCTTTGGGTATTTATTAGAGCCTTACTCTGCTTCTTTCTACCCACTAATGAGCGAGATCATTCTGTGTCTGTCCCTCTCCTTCTGACTAACAGCATGACACTCTCCAGATCTACCCACGTGGCAGAAAATCGCCAAGCCAAGTAGTTGTCCATTATGTATACATACCATTGTTTTTTTATCCAGTCATCTCTTCCTGGTTTGTTTCCAGATTTTGGTACCATGTGCCACGATTTCCTCACCTCTGGTGGGAATGTCGTGGGGTTCAACCCCGATGAAAGCAGTAAGATTTCTCCAACAACGTAAGAATAAATCTCCCATATGACCAGCGAGACCATCTTTTGCCACCTACATGCCCCAAACACAAAAGCAGTAATTCAAAGGAATACTCGCATCCACTGAATACAAGAATACGCTGCTCATTGGAGGGGTCGTTTTCGTGCCTGGATTGTGTCCTTCAGTCTTTTGCCGGAGTGTTGCATCTTGTCTTCCAGCCTTCAGCAGTGACGTGTCCAAGTCTGTCTTACCCGTTCCTTTGCCTAAATTGTCCTCATGTTCCTCCTTGCTCTAAAGCATTGCTGTTGCATTTATTTTCTCTGTGGGTTTTCTGGTAAAGTATTTGTTTGGGGAATTAGTATCCCTTTGTTACAGTTTCCCCCCTGTGTTCTCTTACCAAATATCTGAGGATTTTTTTTCAGCTGCAGTTTATGTTATTGTTTAATGTCTCGTATCATTTTCTTAGTAAACATCTCTAGCAGTCGGTCACTGTCTAACAAACCATGGGCCTGAACCCAGTCTGGCTGCGGGCAAGGTCAGAGCCCTGCCCACTGCCCTGTGCCTCTGACCCTCTAGTCTCCGAGGGACGGGAACGTTGGGAAGATGGGACCCTTTGGGGTAGCTTGTCTCACTTGGACTGATCATTCCTGTGAGGTGTCAGAAGCACTGGCTGCTCTTCCTCCCCTGTCACGCGTTCCCTTACTAGCCCCGCTAGCTAAGTTGGTAGAGCATGGAACTCTTAATCCCAGGGTCATGGGTTCGAGCCCCACGTTGGACGCCACCTGCCCCGACCCGTGGGACTAGTCAACTTGGATAAACAGGAGAGGGTGCACAAGTGGGAAAAAAGAGAGACAGAAGAATGAAAGCAAGACTAGACTCTGATCAAGCTCCAAATTTATTTCTCCCAAGCTAGCCTTTTATAATTGATTACACGAGGAAGTGGGAAAAATGGGGAATTAACAAAGCATGCAGATTTTCAATAAATCATGGTGTGAGCCCTAATGGTGGGCTCCTGGCAGTTATCCCAGGCACAGCTCAGAAACTTACACAATGTATTTTAACATTTTTCCAAGAAGAGATTAGTCTTAAATCACAGGTCAGGCTGTACTGACATTTCGGCTCCTGGCACGCCTGTTCCTTCTCCTTCTCTGGTCTGGCTTCCTTGTCTGCTCACATTCCCAGCTCTGGAGAACTCCTCCCTGGACTCCTTCCTGCTTCCAGCGTCTCCTTCCTCTGGCTTCTACTTCCTCTTCCTCCTCAGTGCTGGCACCTTGGTCCTTCCCAGCTTCCCCCCACACAGAAACCATCGCCGTGGAGTACCTGCTGACTTGTCACCTTTGCTGGTAATGGGGCATTATAGGACGAGCGTTCTCTACTTGTCTGAAGGGCTTTGATTGAGCTATTCGAGTCTTCCACCCCACTTTTATGTGTGAGTTCGTGGAAATTCAAACGTCGTGCCAACATTCCCCAGAATCCACTCTGTGAGTCACCGTTGCTTCATTCATTAAATGCAGGAAGTCAGGCAAAAAATAAGGGGAAAATAATGGGTGACACATTTCTTTGTGCTTTCAGCCAGGACTTTATTTAAACATGGTGGAGGCCCAGCTCTGTATTCCCCTTTGGAAGTTGAGAAACAGAGTGAGGCCCTTGGAAGCCGCCCTCCACCCCCCCCCCCTGGAGCTCCCAGAGTGTGCGAGCAGGAGGGGGTGCAGGACTGTCCAGCTGCCCCCGGTGCAGGCACTGGGCGCAAAGTCCTCTGTGCGGGGGCAGGAGAAGCAGGGTCATGTGAAGGGTGCGGAGACAGTTCAGAGGTGTCCATGGGACCTCGGTGTTTCCAGATGACGTCAGGCAGCAGAGACTGATAGCTCTGTAGCTGAGAGACCCAGCCCAGATGGAGAACGGGGAGCCATCCCCTCCTCTGTGGGTCGGGGGCTCAGGAGAAGGCACAAACAGACCAGAAGGCCGTCCCCATGAGGCCCCAGGACCCAGAGGCTGCTCTAGCTGTCTTGGAATCATTTCCAACTGCAAATGGAATCTCCAGGAAAGCCGACGCTGAGTGCGGCGAGGGATTCCAGACCATTTTGCATGAGCCTGGCCGGTACTCCTGCTTGGCCAGCACACATTGCTGAGCCTCATGCCCACTTCCCCAAGCGTCCATGAGGGCCCCATTCTCTAAACGGGGAAGGAATCTGCGGGTTCACCAACCAGCCCAGTTCTGGAGTGACAGACCTCAAAGGACTCACCAGTGGGTCTGTGCCGCAGACTGGCTCGGTCGGGAACCACCAGGCTGAGGGACGTGGGAGAAGGTTTACAGGAAAGCAGGAGATTCAGCGATGACAGACAGACACCAACACAAGTGAGGTTGAGTGCTGCTGCGATTTTACTGAGCACAGAGTTCCTTTTTTATACAGTCAAGGCAAAATCATAGAACAAAGGGCCAGAATACAATCGGACATTACATCATATCGTGGTCACTTATTGGTGACATATTCCAAAAAATATCGAGGGACAAAAACACTTTCTTAATACACTTCCTGCTTCAAATTAGGACAAAACATTTACCTATGAATTCTTTACAGTGATTACACAGGATTTAATGTCTAACCATGGTTCCCCTTTCTACAGAGTTCTTTATCATTGTTTTTCTTCAGCAACTTTTGTTTTCATCTGACAGGGTCTTAACCACACATCACAATCCAGGAAGGGTCTCGGACCTTCCCATATATTGGTTTGCAACACTTTGTTTTTCTGTTAATAAACTCCAGGATGTATGTACTTAGACCAGTTTTTGTATGGGGGGATAGAGGTTTCACAATGT